AGGTGAGATTTGTGTGGGAACACAGCTAGACTGTATCACTCCATTCCTGAAACTATTATTCAGGATGTTTGTGACAGTGCTAGAAATCTTCATTTTAAAAAAATTTTCCCAGGGAATACTTTCTGTGGTCATTTCTACCACAGGCCTGGTAGGTGGTAAGCCATGTTGTTAACGCTGACCTGTTCCATCAAATGACACCTCATGTCCAGTTTTACAGAGAGGATGTGTGTTGCTACTTTAGGAGAAAGAAGAACGATGCCATCATTTATAACTTTTGACAGTGGCTATGTCATATATCCCTATAAGAAAATAAATCTTGAGTATATTAATGTTTCTAAAAACCCAAGGAACCAGGAAGTCTGATAATTTTTATTTAATAAGCTGTTTTTCTTTTTAAAAACAATTTCAACTTTTATTTTAGATTCATGGGGTACATGTGCAGGTTTGTTACAGGGGTATATTGTGTGATGCTGAAGTTTGGGGTACAAATAATTCTGTCACCCAGGTAGCGAGCATAGTATCCAATAGGTAGTTCTCAGCCCTTACCTCCCTGCCCCAACTCCCTGATTTAATAGACTCATGTCTATTGTTCCCATATTTTTGTCCATATGTACCCAATATTTAGCTCCCACTTATAAGCGAACACATGCAGTATTTGTTCTCCTATTCCTGTGTTACTTCATTTAATAAGCCATTATTTTGATGCTTTTTCTTCTCTCCACAATCCATAGCCATTTGTGGAGTCTATTTACAGGCAAAGCCTTAGTTTAGTGCAGGGGAAGACGTACTCAGTGCTTTGGTAAAGAGAACAAATGAATGTAGAGTCCTACTGATTTATTGATACACTGTACACTCATTTTAATGTAGAATGGTCTTAAAGAAATAGAAACAGTTTTAGACAGCTAATCTGCCATCTGGAATACAAGATAAAAGTACATGTTCTTTATTAAATTTTAATTAGGACACAACCTGAAGTCTATAAAAGAAATTGCTGACAGATTTGGCTACATAAAAATTCAAATGTCCCTATGATGAAGTTTCCATAATCCGAGTTCAAAGATAAACAACAGGCTAAGAGAAACATTTATACTAAGTAAAAGAAACAAAGGTGTTCATCATATGTAAAGAATTTCTTGGAATCATAAAGAAAAATAAAGATCCAAAGAAAAAATGTGACAAATGTGTAAACAGGCAACTCAAAACAAAGAAAGAAGCAAACAAAAACTACAAATGTTCAATATACTTAAGACTTGTACAACCTCAGTAGTAACTAGAAAAGGCAAATCAGAGAAGAAATTTTGCTTTTTTTTTTTACAAAATATTGATGAAATTTTTTAAATTGACAACAAATCATGATTGAGAGACAGTGTAAAACAGTAGTCAAGTCATGGACAACTTGATGGAATATAAATTGTTTTTGTACTTTGTGAGAGTATTTTGGTAGTATCCATAAATTTAAAATGCATATATCCTTTCACTTACTTATTTCAATGCAATCTAGCCCATAAAAGTACTAGCATGTATGGTTAAAGATGTATACCTAAGAATGCCAGTTTCAATATTATGTATAATAAAAAAACCTGGAAATACCCTAATTATGTATCAATAATGTAATAATAAACCATAAAATTTTATGCAGCAGTGCCAAAATGAGACAAATTTATAGGTCTTGATTTTTTTTTTTAAAGATCTCTTTGGTATAGTAAGTGAACAAAATCACTTCACAGAATAAAACATAATATAATTGAATTTGTAGTTTTAAAAAATTTATCATTGCATATATACATATAAAAATATTTTACAAGGGCTGGATGGATTTTACAAGGGTTGGATCAATACTATTACAGGGTAGTATGAATTTACTTCTAGGGAAGGGAATAATTTGGATAAGTGGGAATTTATAAGAGATTTTCATTGTTTATATAGCCCTCCATTATGTAAATATTCTACAATAAAAATATTTTCTTATATAATTGGAAAAATAAACAATAGATATTAAAAACCTCCCAACATTGGAGAAAACAGTAAAGTTAAACACTCCTCAAAGGTAAAAACAAAGCACACCTGTTCTAATTGTAAGAAAAAATTCTAAACTTCCTGTCTATGCTTATCTTTGACAAAATGCTAGTACTGTGTTAAAAGAATACATTAAAATGTAACACTTTATGATTAAATGTAAGATTTAGGGTGTGGAAATTTCAAAGTGTGAATTTGGGTAAAATTAATTTGCTTGTTGCAGGTTTTTTTTTTTTTTTTTTTTTTTTTTTTCTTGTAAAGCGTAGCTGATAAAAGTCTTGCGTGTGAGAGAGAGGAAAATGTAACTGATTCTTAGGCAAAATAAAGTCATATCACATGAGAAAGTATTTCTCATTCTATTCAAGCCCCTTAATAACTTTATTGGATCTCTAGCTCTAAAGATCATATCTCACTAAGGGAAGAAAAACTGCGTTATACACGCTGGGCGGCTGCCTACCAACCATTCTCATGCATTTGTTGTGAGGGCAACACCTGTGTGTGTGGTTTTTTCTACATGTAGGACGGTTCCACCGCCATCCTTCCCAAAACTTCTGGAGGTCATCCTTTTTACAACAGGAAATTTCCCGCACCAGTGACCTGCATTGTAACACTTTGCCCTGTTATCTATGGAAAGAGTTCTTTCCAAGTCCCAAGAGTGCTTTAAACTTATTTCTTAGGTTACTCAGACTCACACAAAGTTAGCTTTCCCCAAGGTGGAGGGGGGTGCCTCTGCAGAAAAATGTCCTCCAGTGGATAATTCATCATGTGATATTTCAAGCACTGAGAAAGCAGAAGTGACATTTGGAAAGAAAGGGTGGAATTTCCTTTCTTTACATGTGTGAGTAGCGCGCGCGCCTGTGAGTGGGGGGTGGAGTGGGGGGCCTATGGGAAAGAGGGGGTCTTGTAGTGGACAGCATTCTTTGAATATAAACATACATGTAAACATATAAATATAAATATATAAATATATATGCGGGTATTTTTCTCCTGCATAAAGGAGTCAGGCCTATCTCTTTCTATTTGATCTTAATCCCTCTCCCCTACCAGCGTGGCCCAGGAGCACCCCTCTCTTTCTAATAAATGGCTGGCAGAGCAAGCTGTTCACGCAGTTGCCTTTGATCACCTTGGAGCTGTCAGCCCGTGCTGCTGTTTTCCTCACAGTTCTTGTTCCTGCCTAAAAGTGGAAGTAATACTCCCTGAAAGAAATACCCTAGGTGTCCTGCAAAGCATTAATCTATTTCTTCTTTTCCTTCTTTTTTCCTGAGGCCCACCCTCCCAGCTTGAACAAAACCCCCTCTTCCTACCTCCTCCCCTCTCTGCAGAATCCCAGTTCCTTTTGAGACACCCTCCACTGTGCTGGCCTGACCTCCTGGGCCCTCGCTGTCTGAGAAGCTACCACCCGGCCAGACAGGGGAGGCCCCGCCCCGCCCCTGCACCCGGCTCCCTCTCCCCCGCCCCATGGGAGCCCGGATCCCGCAGGCATCTGGGCTCGCAGGTTCTGCCGTTTGCTTTCCAGAAGGCGAGCTTTTGCTGACCCACGCCCCGCTTCCTCAATGCCTCCGCTTCCCTTCACCCTCCGGGGACTTGGGATTGCCCTGCAGACCCCCTGGACTTGCGTTTTGGGCTCTGGCTGCAGTGTTTGGGAGGAAGGCTGAAGGTGCGACCCAGCTCCGGCTCAGCTGCGCGCATTTGCAAATGTGGCTGCGTCCAGACAGGGCATGGAACACATTTCCAAGCTCACGTCCCCGTTTCTTGTTTACAGCTTAGATAATAAGCAATCCATGTCCCCTCTTACCATCGTGTCAGGCAATGATATATAGATTGTAAATATTATTCAAAGGAAATCATTTGCACGGACAAACAATTGCAAGCAAAGTATATGGACCATGAGGTTTGTCTTTAACGTACTTACCAGAAGGACAGGGACGGGGGCTGGGAGACGAGAAAATTGTGGGGTGGGGTGTGTGTGGGGGCGGGAGGAAGGTGGTGGGGATGACTCAAAGGATTCTGGTGATTCGATGACAGTGGCATAACTAATTAAATGTAATGTTGCTTAAAAGCCTTTGCTCTCTTTCTGAAATTGCTCGAAAGTATGCATTACTAAAGAAAAAAGATAATGTAGAAGGGGAGGGCGCTTAGAATGACTGAATACAACTCATTGTGCTGGCTCAAAAATGTCAAACTGCAGTGGAGAGAAATACAGCATTACAGGCTGGTGTGCTGGGGCCCCAGCTAGGGAAGGGGGAACTGTTAAGTGGAAAATTCCTGCAGAGGACTCGTTTCCATTTCCAATGGGAAGAAAGAGAGTGTTGTTAGAAGCTGGCAGATCTTTGGAAAATACAGGGTCGCACAGAGAAAATGACAAAAATGATCTCATTGAACTCCCAGAAATCAAGCAAACAAATAGCTTTAGTCAACCTACCACATTCTTATAGTGACTGTGTCTGCATACCTAGATTGAAAGAGGCTGAAGTCTCAGCTCTCCCTCTCTCTGGTCGCCCATGTCTCCTGAGAGGAAAGGAATGATGCTTGAGACACTGGCAGCAGCAGAGGGTCACGGCTGTAGAAGTGTGTCTATGAGTACATGTGTGCTCCTCAAACAGACTAGTGTGATTAGGGAGATACCTACTTTGCATCCTGAATACTAACATGATGGGGCAGCTGTATTTGTTGGACATCAGAAGATTTCAGTTTAAGGAGCATTTTTCTGTCCTTAAGAACCACAAATCCTAAAAGGAGTCACCAGGTTTTGCCACCCAGGGGTGGCCTCTGTGTGTGGTTTTTCTGTCTAAGGATAGCCTAAATTGCATCACGAACAGCTAGGTGACGGAGCAGAGAGCGAGGGCAAGCACATCTCAGAGGCTGTGTGCAGGTGTATTCGTATCACCGCAGCCAGGAATGTTAGAATTATCATTTCATGTTCCAGTGAAGAAAAACAGATACTAACAAGAAGCCATGTTTTCTGTTATTCTGTAAAGCTTCTGTCGCGAAGAAAGAAAAATGCCAGACAGTGAATATATTGCATGTACACAAACGAAGTTCAAAGGATCTTCATTTGCTCTGCTGATTTTTTTCTCTATCAGATCCACAACACATTGACAAGGTAAAGAAAACCTGTTTTTTTACATTTATGAGTAGAGTATGTGTGTATGTGTGTTGAGTAACACTTTTTATTTTTTTTTCTGAGACATGTCTTGCTCTGTCACCCAGGCTGGAGTACAGTAGTGCGATCTCGGCTCACTGCAACCTCCGCCTCCTGGGTTCAAGAGATTCTCCTGCCTCAGGCTCCCAAGTAGTATAAATACAGGCTCACTGCAACCTCTGCCTCCTGGGTTCAAGAGATTCTCCTGCCTCAGCCTCCTGAGTAGCTGGAACACCACACCTGGCTAACTTTTTGTATTTTTAGTAGAGTTGGGGTTTCACTGGATGTTAGCTAGCCAATATGGTCTCTATCTCCTGACCTCGTGATCTGCCTGCCTTGGCCTCCCGAAGTGCTGGGATTACCGTGCCTGGCCTGAATAGCACTTTAAAATCCAATTCCTGTCCATAATAGTCTGAAAATTTAATAACTTTTGAATCATACTAAAAACACTTTATGAAAACTATTTACCATTTCAAGTAAGCTTTATTAAAAATTACAGATGACTGAATTTATGTGGTCAATATTCCACCTACTGACAAACCCAAAGCATAGACCAGCATTGCTTGTATCATTCCAATGTGTCCTCCAAAAATTTGATTTTACTTGTATATGTAAATTCAAAGATGCGATGGACCTTGGGACTTGTAAATTTTACATAGAAAACAATATTTGGTTCAGAACAATTCTTAAGCTATGTCCAATTGCCAGGTCAATTCCTATAGTTAATTGAAGAAATACACTGTGAGTTAGTCATACATTTAAGATATGAATGTTCTTGTCTCTTCTTACAAACAATTCGCTTACATAGTTTTAAGGAGATATAAGTCATTTCCCATAACATTCACTTACTTTAAGTGTTCAATTCAATGGTTCATAGTATTTTTACAGTTACACTACCACGACTACAATTTCATTTTAAGTTATTTTCATCACTCTGCAAAGAAAGATTGTGATTATTTACAATCACTATCCTTTCCACGCCAGCCCTAAATAATGTTTTTGAGGCCCATCCTTGTCGTTCCTGTTAATTGCCAAAGGGTTTTCCACTGTATGAGGTATACCACACTTCATTTATGATTCATCAGCCGAGGAACATTTAGGTTGCTTCCATTTCTGGGCTATGGTGTCTAAGGCCGCAATGAACATTCATATGGAAGTCATTGTGCAGACATGTCTTCTCATTTCTTTTTGGTAGATACCTAACCAAGGATGGAAATGCTGTGTCATATGGTATGCTTATACTTTTCAGAAACTGCCAGATTGTTTTCCAAAGTGACTATAGCATTTTACATCCTTACCAAAAATGTATAAAAGTTCTAATTGCTTCAGATCCTCACCAATACTTGTTATTGTCTGTCTTTTCGATTATAGCCATTCTGGTGAGTGAGAAATAGGATCACATGGCAGTTTCATTTGCATTTCCTTATGTTCAGTCATGTGAATCTTTATCTGTGCTTATTAATCGTTTGTATATCTTCTGAGGAGAAATATCTAAATATTCAAAACCTTCAACTATATTTTTAGCTGTGTTCTTTGGTTTTTATTACTGACTTGTTAGAATTATTTATATATTCTGGGTACAGAGCTTGTATCAGATATATGATTTGTGAATGTTTTCTCTCAGGTCATGGGTTAGTTTGTCATTTTCTTCATGGTGTCTAATGTTTTTATTTTGATTAAATTTAATTTAGCAATTCTTTTTATTTTATCACTTGTGCTTTTGTTGCCATATCCAACCTTCTGATACAGTCTTAAGATATTTTATTTTATTTACTCAATATATATTTTTAACCTACCATGTGCCTATCACTATATTAGAATGGAAATATAACTCAACTACAATCATACTGGTGATTTATAGCTTAAAACGTTTTAGAAAATCATGCATAAGGGCTTAGATTTGAGGGCAAAACCAGTAACACATGTTTATCAGCTTAAGATTTCTGATGATAGAGCTTCTCAAAGTTCCAGAAAGGATTGAGCCACTTTTAAGTTTTTGAATCACTTCTCGGCCTTTTGGCTAAGATCAAGTAAAGTTTTTGAGATTCCAAGTATATTTTTTTAAAGTGCAAGTGTTGTGAAATTATAGAATATCTGAAACATACCTTAACAATTTTAATGCAATATATCTATGCAGTCTTAAGACAAATTTCATGAGTCCCAGGACAAAAGTTTGACATTGATGATGAATATCTTTCAGTCTAGTTCCTGAATGTCTGGAACTGTATGTATAACTTGAAAACTACATCAAAGGTCTAAATTTCATGCTGTAAAGCACTTCCTTACCTCAGGAAATATATACAACTTCTGAAGATTTTTTTCTTAATTTTTTCTCATTCAAATACTGCTGCTTACATGGGTGTCCATAATTTGTTATGACTTTGTAGGAAAGCTGACTTTTCCTCCATAGGGAAAGAGGTAGAGAGAGATTGTGTTAGGTCATTCTTATGTTGCTATAAGGAAATACCTGAGACTGGGTAATTTATAAAGAAAAGAGTTTCTGCAGGCTGTACAGAAAGCATGGCATGGGCATTTGCTTAGCTTCTGGGGAAACCTCAGGGTCCTTTTATTCATGATGGAACACGAATCGGGAGTAGATCCCTCACCTGGCCAGAGTAGGAGCAAGAAAGAGACAGAGCAGGAGGATGCCACACAGTTTTAATGAATCAGATCTCAAGGGAACTCCCTCACCATCGTAAAGAAAGCACCAAGCCATGAGAGATCTGCCTCTGTGACCCAGAACCTCCCACCAGGCCCCACCTCCAACACTTGGGATTACATTTCAACACGAGATTTAGTGGGGACACAGATGCAAACCAAATCATAGGTCTAAAATATCGGCAACAGAATATATCATACACTGGAATCAGTGTGAGCTGCAGTATGCAGTGGGGATAGTATTGTTACATAGGCATACTATCTTTTCTTGTGTTTCACTTTATTGAGCTTCACGGCTAATGTATTTTTTACAAATTGAAGGACTGTGGCAATCCTGTGTTAAGCAAGTCTATTGGTGTCATTTTTCCAATAGCATGTGCTCACTTTCTGCCTGTGTCACATTTTGGTAATTCTTATAATATTTCAAATTTTTTCATTATTATATCTCTAATGGTGATTTGTGATCAGTGATCTTTGATGTTACTATCATAATTGCTCGGAGGTGCCACAAACTGTACCCATGTAAGATAGTACACTTAATTGATAAATGTGTATGTCTTCACTGGTGCATCAACCGACCATTCCGCCATTTCTTTCCTTCTCCTCAGGCCTCCCTATTTTCTGAGACAAACAGTGCTAAAGTTAGGATAAGTATTTTATGAAAGAGTCAATCAACTCTAAAATGGCCTTCAAGTGCTCGAGTGAAAGGGAGAGTCACATGCCTCTCATTTTAAATTAATAGCTAGAAATAATTAAACAGAGTGAAGCAGGCTTGTTGAAAGTAGAGAGAGGCTGAAAGCTTGGCCTCTGGCAACAAATAGCCAAGTTGTGAATGCAAAGGAAAAGTTTATGAAGGAAATTAAAATTGCTACTTCAGTGAACACACAAATGATACAAAAATGAAAAAGACTTATTGCTGATATGGATAAAGTTTGAGTGGTCTAAATAGAAGATCCAACCAGTCACAACATTCCCTTAAGACAAAACCTAATCCAGAGAAAGGCTATAATTCTCTTCAATTCTGTGGAGGCTGAGGGAGGCAGAAGAAGAGTTGGAAGTTAGCAGAAGTTGGTTCATGATGCTTAAGGCGAAAACTTGTGTTCCTAACATAAAAGTCCAAGGTGGAGCAAGCAACAAATTATTTGGAAGATCTACCCAAGATCATTGATGAAGGTGAATATGCTAAACAATACCTTTTTAATGTAGATAAAAACACCTTCTAACGGAACAAGTTGCCATCTAGGACTTTATAGCTAGAGAGGTGAAGTTAATGCCTGGCTTCAAATCTTCAAAGAGTAGACTGACTCTCTTGTTAGGGCCTAATGCAGCTGGTGACTTTAAGTTGAAGCTGGTGCTTATTTGCCATTTTATAAATCTCAGGACCTTTAAGAATTGTGCTAAATCTGTTCTGTCTGTGCTTTATAAATGGAACAACAGGCTGAGCACAGTGGCTTACACTTGAAATCCCAGTATTTTGGGAGGCCAAGGTGAGTGGATCACTTCAGGTCAGGAGTTCGAGACGAGCCTGGCCAAAATAGTGAAACCTCTTCTATACTAAAAATACAAACATTAGCCTGGTGTGGTGGCATGAGCCTGTAGTCCTAGCTACTCAGGAGGCTAAGGCAGGAGAATTGCTTGAACCTGAGAAGCAGAGGTGGCAATGAGCCAAGATGGTGCCACTTCACTCCAGTCTGGGCGATAGAGTGAGGCTCCATCTCAAATAAATAAAATAAAATAAAATAAAATAAATTGATCAACAAAGCCTAGATGACAACACATCTGTTGACAGCATAGTTTACTAAATATTTTAAGCCCACTGTTGAGACCCACTGCTCAGGAAGACGTAAGTTCCTTTCAAAATATTACTGTTCCTTGACAATGTACCTAGTCAGCAAAGAGTGCTGACGAAGACATAAGAGAATAATGCTTTTTGTGTCTGTTAACACAATGTGCCTTCAGCAACCCATGGATAAAGAAGTTATTTATTTCAACTTTTGAGTCTTATTATATAAGAAATACATTTTGTAAGGTTATAGCTGCTATAGATAGTGATACTTCTGATGGATACACACAAAAGAAATTGGAAACCTTCTGGAAAAGAGTCATCATTCTCAGTGCCATTAAGAACAGTTGCTATTCTTGGGAGGAGGTCAAAATATCAACATGAACAGCAGTTTGGAAAAAGTTGAATCCAACCCTCAAGGATGACTGTGAGGGGTTCAAGACTTCAGTGAAGAAAGTAGCTGCAGATGTGGTGGAAACAGCCAGAGAACTAGAATTAGAAGTGAAGCCTGAAGATGTGG